CTAATGGGAGGAAACAAATGAACAATAATAATTATAATAAATCACAATACATTCCAATACATGATGTAATATAGAGGTGAGCAGAGAGGGCATGTCTGTCTCTAGCAGGAGTTCATAAAGTATGCTGCCTCTGATTGCAAAGGACTCAGCCAAACAAAGGCAATGCAATGGAAGGAGATTCTGAGCATGGAGAGGACTTTGTGTGAAGACCAGGCTCAGGGTCAAGTGATATCTGAAAACTCAGACTGTGGAGGGTACAAAGTACAACAGCAGTAGAAGATGGAACTTAACTAGAATATATATTTATACCTGCTAAGTATTCTGGCCTTTATCCTCTGGACCACCAGATGCCAGCCAAAGTCTTTAATGATCAAAGTTTTTGTTTTTGTTTTGTCTTGAGATTTTCTCTGCCAGCTCTGTCGAGTATCAGACTGTGGGGAGAGAGTGACAGATAACAGGCCCATCAAATAGACTTTTGACCTCTTCAGATTGAGACAGGGTGAGTGTGAAAACAGTGGCCAAATTAAAAAGATGTTTATGATGTAAAATTGACAATATTAGCTGGCATTGAAATAAAGAAGGATGAGCGTGGCTGGTGGGGTACAGAGGACTTATCAGAGGTTCATGGAGAGGAGACAGCATCTTGGGAAGCTGCTAAACAAGAAATTAACTGGAACAACCAAAGAAGCCAGATAAGCTATCCATATGAATCACTGGCTAAGGAGCTAGGCAAAGAGAATCCAGGCAAAAGAAAATGTGCAGAAATCTGGGAGACCAGACTAGAATGACTTTTAGTGGAGAATGTACGGTGAATCCTAAACAGATTTTCTGAGCTGCCAAGAGTGTAGGAAAAATGATCTAATATAGTGTCCATGGCCTTAAGTTTGGGTGAGGCAAGAGCTGTAGGAGGTTCTAATCCAGCACGGTCATTTAAGCACTCTTTATTTTTCATAAAAACTTGGAATTAATCTAAACCCTTTTTGAAGTAAAAGCAAGATGTTTCAAGGATAATGGTATTGATTAATAATTCTCCCCCAACTAATGTACTTCCTGTGGGTAACTCAGACACTGCACAGAGACCTTCATTAACTCTGAAATCACCAAGGAATCATTTAGAAAGCAACTCCCTAAAAACTTAATAGTGCTGCCAAAGTGTTAATGCACCTTTTCAAAGCATTAAGGAGCTGGGCAGATACACATGGATGTAATGACTATGTATGAAAAATAAATGATAACGTAGTTTGTCTCGGATCTACACTTTTTTAAGAGATCCCTTTTACGTGTGAGACTCTGTGAGTTAATTTTTCCTGTCTATGACATTCTAATGTTTTTAATTGCCAACTGTCTGGATTTGCTGTTGGTATGAATCAGGTCTTTTTATTTAATTAAGCCAGCTTATCTCTCACCCATCATAATCCATTCTCTCTTACTTTTTTCATTTCCAGAGCCAGCCATCACATATTAATACAAATATAGGAAAATCTGAGTCATTTTTATAAGTAAGAGCACAGAATACCCATCAGATATGTGCATACACTTCCTTCACTTATATAGAAAGGTTCAAAATAACTTGGTTTGTATTCTGCCAAAAACACAGAAACCAGAAAAGAAATCAATATTTCAGTTCATTCATTTACCTCATGATGCAAACCTTCTAAATCCTGTAGTTTATTTCCCAGAATTTTACACAGTCTTGCTTTTATATCTGGCCAATGATAAATTGTACGCCATTCTGTTTCTGGAAGTAATTGACAGCATTGCCTGTCAGCTCAGTTTTGTTGCCAGTGCATGTGTGGGTTTTTCATTCACTCATTCATTAATTGAGCACAACTCTGATTACTGGGGATGCAACCATGAATGGGACAAAAGAAAGTTCCAACTCCCTTTGAGCTCACATTTTAGTGGGAAAGGCTGACAGTAAACAAACAATGGTGATGATTAATGTGCAAAGAATTGAAATAAGTTGGTATAAGGAGGTTCAGTGGCTTTTCTGCAGATGGAGTGCTCAGAAAAGGCCTCTCTGAGGACATAGCACTAAAGCAGATAGTTGTATGACAACAGATGCCATGAGGTGAACCCAGGACTAAGCATTCCAAGAGGAAGTTACAGCTAGGGTGGAGGCTCACGAGTGGGAGTATAACCCAAGAACCAAATGAAAGCCAGTGCTGCTGGAGTAACATGAACAGGGCAAATAGTGAGAGATGAGCTTATGGAAAGAGAGAACATTCAACGTAAGTGGTGTGGATTTCATCCCAAGTTCCATGAAGAGCTGTTGTAGGGTTTTAAACAAGGTAGTTGTGGGATCTGATTGATAGTCAGTGGCTGGAGAGGGCAAGTATGGAAATAGGGAGGTAGAGTCCAGATAAACAGTGAATTTGACTTGCATCTAGTAGCAAAGGTGAGAGAATAGATTAATTCAGAATTTGTTTAGAGGCAGAGCAAGAGAACTTATTGATGGATTGGCTACTGAAGGATGTATTATAGAAAGAGAGGAATCCATCAAGAGTAACACAGATTTTTTTTGTTTTATAGGCTTCAGGACTTTGACATGCTTTAGTCATTTCATGTAGTTATTCCATATTTCTCTTTCTGTGCCTGGCTTATTTCATTTAACATAATTTTCTCCAAGCTTATCCATGTTGCTGCAAATGGCAGAATTTCATTCTTTTCTTAGCAGAGTAGTATTCCATTGTGTATGTGTGCCACATTTTCCTTATCCAGCCATCCATTGATGGACATTTAGGTTGGTTCTATATCTTAGCTATTATAAATAGAGCTGCAATAAACATGGGAGTGCAGGTGTCCCTTTGACATGATGATTTCCATTCCTTTGCGTATATACCCAGCAATGAAATTGTAGGTTCATATGTTAGTAGTTATTGCACTGGTCATTTTCAAAGGTCAGTTCTTTTCACCATTTGTTCCTTTTTGTTGCTCATTTCTATGGCTAGAGCAGACTACAGTATGTGGCTTCCTGGATTTAAATCTGCATTTTTTCAACTTAGTAACCTTGTGATCCTGGGGCAAGTTTCTTAACCTCTCTACCCTTCATTTTCCTCATCTAAAAATACTGGAATGATAATTTTACCCATTTCATAGGGTTTTTTCAGAAGTGACTTAAGAAAATAGTCACTTAGCACTACTAGACTACAGTAAGCACTTAGTAAATGTTAGTGATTAGGTGCTTTCTCTCTTTTCCTCCTTACTATTGCTCATTCAGGTCTCAGTACCTAGTAATAATAATTTCAGTAACTTTTTTAAGAAACAAGATATTTCTGTGCTTTGTATCATTCCATAATTATTTTATGTACTAGTTAGATACTGTTTTTTTCAGAATTTCTTAACAATAATCCTTGTTTAATATATTCCCCCCTCAACATCTGGTAGCATCTGTTTATTTTTAAAATGACTTTTTGATGTTTGGGTTTTCAAATCTGCTAAGGGCTTTTAAAGAGATTGAATATTATCAGCTTTATTATGAAGTTAGTATTTTTGGCTCTTAAAATGTGTGAGAGAGGATGGGCATCTGATTTCAAGATTACTTAAATTTTATGAGAATGCTTCATATACTGCCTTCACCAGAACCATCACACAATGTGGGTCTTACTTAAATGCACTGCTCCTCAGCAGGGTGTCCTGCTTTCTCTATGGGCTTAGAACCATATTAGATCTAAGGTTGGAAAAGACCCTATTTGTTTAGATCACAGGACAACCTAAAAGACCTCGTATTCCTCTGAATTTTGATTTGCACATAAACACTGGTTCCTGTTACTCTGCCAGGCTTCAGCTGCATTTCAGACTCTTGTTATTGGTATTTGCTTCTCAAAATAGGCTTGAGAACAGTAGGAAAATAGAGTAGGTCAGTGTGGCATATGGGTGAATTTTCATGGACAGATGTGCTTGAGAATGGTAAGGAAATTCTTTTAAATTGTTGTCTTTGTTACAAATGTGGTATGCAGATGGTTCATAATTGTGGCTGGGATTGAGGTACATTTAGCAAATACCATTTTTCATGAGATAACACATTAACCTAATTTTTGAAAACTGTGCTTCTCATGTTTCACTGAAGTTAGTTGAGCAAGGAACAGCCTCCCTTTACTGTAAGAATCTTACAGTGTCATCTTAATGCAGGAGAATCATTCAGTACAGGTGGCTTTGGGATCCCTTTCTGTGTAAAATGTTCAACACCAAATACATACATGTTCTGTGATTCTTCTGGTTTCAGGTTCCCTGTTTCTTCTTGTATTTTTCTAATGACAGGAGATAATAATTTATTTCAGAACTTTTACATGGTGTGGAACATGTAAAATAGTTCCCGTGTCTGATACAACAGTAAGCCCCCAAGCCCAGGATCAGAGATAATGTTCCATTAAATCACTGGCCAGTCGAATCTACAGTGGGTGAGATCTGCTAGCTTTTGATATTTGCTTCTGCAATTTGTCCCTCCTAATTATTGTGCTCATTGCATGGATGCTGTGCCAAATTTGGTAAAAGTCACATTATTTCGAAATAATCTAGGAAACAATGATACAGTGTGGATTTTGTTGGAAATGAATAAATGAATTATTCAACGTGTGTGTGTGTGTGTGTGCGTTTGAGCGTTTGAAAATTTTATACTTTATGGAGTTAAATTGCCTGATAGCCCTGCATTGTTTCCTTCTTCCTCTTCCAAAGACATTGTGGTTACAGCTGTTTAAAAGCTTGACGTGAGGACCTACATGCGCCTAAAGAATCGGTTGTGATTTCTTAGCCCTGCGCACACACAGAACTGACCAGTGCGGCTCTTGTCCACCATGCAGGCTTCCCGTACGTGCCTTATGAGTCGATGTCTGTGGAATTAAGAGCAGATCTATCCCCAATGTCAAATATACCATCATTTCACGATGCAGCACCCCAACTTGATTATATTTATGTTCATATTTGTTTTTTTAGTTTTCATTTTTTCCAGAAACATATATGTGGCCATACTCACTTTCTGTGTTCTGGTTTTTCCACTACAGACACGGGAGCAGAAAGACAGGCACTACGAGAAAACGTGTATCCTAAACTGAGAGAATTCTGCAGAGAAAACTATGGATTGGAATTTCAGGTAACTCTAATATAAATCTCATTTTTAATTATGTCAGCTAAATAACTAGGGCTTGTTTCTTGGCACATGAAAGACAAGTTTTAAGCCCTGAAAAATTTCATTTCTTTAAGCATGGGTAAAAAAAAAAAAAAACCATTGGAAAATAGAAATAAAATATTGAGTCATTTTTGGTGTTTTGTACTTTTATGCTATGCTTCTTGGACCCTGTCTGGTACTGTCTTATCTTTTTCTTTGAACCATATTTATTTGCTTTTTTTGACAGTCTTCATCATTATCAAAAAGGTGAAAGTTGCTAGTTCCTGCCTTTAAGCTATGGTCTCTAGAAATGTTTTGTATGAAAAAATTGGGACTAACTTTTTTGAAATATTTCCTTGCAGCAGCTTGCCCAGTCCTTGCCTTCAATCTTAACTTTTAGTTTTTAATTTCATTGTAGAATATCAGAAAGTATATCAGCCTTTCAAGAGACAGTAAATGCACATGTCATTGCTAAAGTTCATGAACACACTGACATTTTTATATACCACTGATTTTGCCTCTTAATACTTGAAAACATTGGGTGTATCTTGGATATTCAAAAATGGAAGTACAACAGGATAACATTATTTAGTCTGAATTTCTGTACCTCTTTTACAGTGGGAATCCTAACTCTCTGGTGCTATCTAAACTACACATTTATGTTGTCAAGTGATGAATATGTAATAGAGGTTTGTGGAGCCAGAGTGCAAAATGCACTGTTGTTAGTGGAAGAAAATTTCACCCTTCGTTTGTTTCCTCCTGGATAAATTTCTTATCTTGGTGTACCTGATGATGCCTTCTAGTATGATGTATAAAGTAATAGTCTCAAAATCACTTTAGTCTCAATGCATAATGTCAGTCAGCAGCCGGATGTTATGACACTCATATTGAATGATTACTCATAACTCACAATTTACTTGACAAATTGTGAACCTAGACTAAATTCCTTGTCATGAATTTAGTACTGCCTTCTCCAAGGAATCTGGTTCTGCTGATAACAGGGTCCTAATTGTTATAAAATTTCCAATCTGTCAAGATTCCCAAAGACTTAGACAGTCCTTGGAGACTCTATTATCATAGAGGGAAAAATGCATCTAAGAATATTTATCCCATCTTTGAGTTTGTTTCGTTTTGCATTATTTTTGTCAGTAGAGGGAGGCAGTTGTTGAGCTACAGAACAGTCTCTATAAAACATGGTATTGACTAGGACTAGCTGGGGGGGGGGGAAGAAAAATAGATTTTCTAAATTAGAGGTAGGCAAAGAGAAGACAGATACAGCCAAAGGAAAACTGTAGAAGTTGAGGCCTCAAGGCCCATTGAATAAACCAATGGCCAGGATTCTTCTAGGCAGGTGCACTGAATCAGTAGACAGGATGCTGGCCAGCAGTGGAAACAGCACTGGGCACCAAAGATGAGCCCCAGCCCTCTTACTGGGAGTGACTGAACCTGTGCCTTCAGGTCACTGTCAAAAATAGGGACAATAACAGCCTACACATCTGAGGTTGTATTTAGAATAAAGTAAAATATGAAAGGTTGCATTTGCTTCTCAGCTGTAAGCTTAACAGGAGCTCAAAAACATCATATCTGAATCTTCTAAGAATATACTTTTTAGTATAGTCTTTTATGGCAGGTTAATTTAGATCTTCTCTCTGAGGATATGTTTTCTAGAGAGACCATTCTCTTTTCTCAAGTGCAACAAAATATGATGACAAAAGCTTCACGTGAAGCCAATTTATCCCACAGTATTCCAGATTCCATCTTTGGTTGTGCATTGAACCTGGGAAAAGTGGATTTCTTAGAGTTACTCAGACATACCAGTCTATTTCATGCCCACTTGCCTTTGCTCGTGCCAGTTCTGTCTGCCTGCAATGCTTTTCAGTCTGCTTCTTCCTCTGCTTCCCCTCCTGGATCCTACTCATTCTTAAGGCTCGTCCCCTCTGATCTCAAGTTGTGCCCCTTTCCCTTAGCCTCCTCGCCTGTAGCCACATGTGCTGCTTTTGGTTCCCTGAACACCCCAAGCCATTACCACTTAAGAACTTTGCCCTGGCTGTTCTCTCTGCTGGGAATACTCATCCCCTTCATCTTCACATGGCTGCTTTCTTATTGTTCCTCAGGTCTCTGCTGAAATGTCACTTCCTAGAGATGCTTCTCTACTCACCCAATCTAAAGTAAACACCTTCCTTTAATATCACCCTATTCTAGTTCTTTGCATAGCATGTGTCAACATCAGATATTCTTCTTGTTTATTTATATGTCGGCTGGCTTATTGTCTTTTTCTTACTAGATTGTAAATTCCACAAGAACAGAGGCTTGTCTGCCTTTATGACAGTTACGTTCCCAGTCCTAGAATAGTACTTGGCACATAGGAAAATGCCGCAAGAATTTGTTGAACAAATGAATGAATGCCTGTATGAAAAAAAAGTGAATTAATGAAGACTCAGCCCAAACATTAATTGCTTAAGAAAGCCTTCTCTGCTAAGCCCAATCCCTCCCAGGATATGCCACGTACTCTCCTCTTTGAACCCCCAAAATCCTCTGCATAACTCTCAATCATTCATCCAGTTTATTCAAGAAGTATTTGTTGAGCACTGACCACATGTCAGTTAGCATTCTAAGTGCAGGGAATACAGGAACAAACTAAGCAGACCCTCTTCTGTGGATTTTCCAATATTGTTTGGGGAGGCATACAATAAACAGATAAATTTCAGTGGTAAGAAATGCATTTTATTGGGTAAATGCTTCTGTGAAAAACAAAGCAGGGTAAGTTTAGGGCATGCCAGGTAGTCAGAGAAGGACTCGGTGATAAGATGACCTTTGAGTAGAGATTTGCAGAAAGTGACAGAGCAAGTCATGCAGATGTCTAAGGCGGGAGGAGTCCAGGCATAGGGAACAAGGAAAAAGTTCTGAGGTGGGAGTGTGTTTAGAATATTCCAGGAACAGTAAAGAAGCCACACAAGGTAGGGCAAGATGGTAGACTAGAGGTGCCCCACCCATGATCCTCCCACAGAAAGAGGCCAAAGCAAGGAAAGGACAGCTAAGTACGGGGGAAAGCATCAGTGGGAGAGTGTGGGAGGGCAGTGGGAGCCTGGTGAGGACCCCATGGAGCACAAAAACCAAGCAAAGTGATGTAGAGGAGAGAGAGGAATGTGGCCTCAGCCACCACCACCTCTCCAAGATCAGCCAGGAGGAATTCTCCCTTGCAACAGAAAGAATCAACTCAGCTGTGAATACTTCCCAGCGGTAACCCTCTTCCTACTCTGGCCCCAGCCTACCCCCACCACCTACAATGTGCCTGTGCCATTGTCTAGCCTCAAAGCCCTGACCCTTCTCTCCATACAGTTCATACTGTGCAGTGCATCCTCCCATGCCACCGACATTGCCCACAGAGCACTGAGCAACTGCGTGGCTCCAGCGCTCCAGGCACCTGGTGGCTCTAGCCTTCCAGCCACCTGTATGGCCTGGCTGCCCACGTGGCCCCACCCACGAATGTGGGCCCAGCTGTCTAGCTGCCTTTGCAGCCCCATCTGCCTGGCTGCCCACATGGCTCCACTCGCCCATGTGACCCCAACCATGCAGCCCCACCTGCCCACATAGGCCCTGTCATCCAGCTTCCTACATGGCCCCACCCACCTGCATGGGCCAAGCAACCAAGCCACCCATGTAGCCCCAGACATCCTGCCTCTTGCACCAGTCCCAGCCACTGCAACCACCCACATCGCCCACCCACACACGTGGACCCAACCATCCAGCCACCTGCAGGACTCCAGGTGCCCCAGCTGCCTACATGGCCCCCACCACCTGCACAGACCCAGCCACGCATGCAGCTCCAGCCACATACATAGCTGCTGGCATCAACCAGAAATACTGAGTCTACCCAGAACTACTGAGGCTACCTGGAACAACTGAAACTACTGAGGCTACCAGGAACCAAAACTAAAACACCCCTTCCACGGGAAATATACAACAAATCTACCGGAGGGAGTCTCTCTCCTCAAAAGCCCAAGAGTAATAGAAGAAGCAACCATCAGATTACTAAGCAGCAATGGAGAAATACTGGAAATATGAAAAAACAAGAAAATATGACACCACCAAAGGAACACTATAATTCTCAAATACCAAATCCCATACAACAGGAAACTCTTTTTGTCTGAAAGGGAATTTCAATTAACAGTCTTAAAGAAACTCAGTGAGATACAGGAAGACTCAGTTAAACAATACAACAAAATGAGAAAATTAACCCAGGACATGAAGGAGGAAATTTACAAAGAGATAAATACCATATAAAAGAATGTAGCAGAACTGCTGGAACTGAAAGACTCATTCAACAAAATAAAAACTACAATTGAGAGTGTAAACAGCAGGATAGAGCAGGCAAAAGAAAGAATTCCTGATCTTGAAGACAGTCTTTTTGAAATAACCCAAGCAGACAAAAAAACAAAAATCAAAAAGTGAAGAAAGTCTAAAAGCCTGTAGACCACCATAAGTGCACAAACATACAAACTGTGGGTATTCCAGAAGGGTAGGAGAAAGTAAAGGACATTGAAAACATATTCAATGAAATAATAGTGGAAAATTTACAAGATACTGGTAGAGATATGGATTTCCCAATCTAAGAGGCTCAAAGATCTCCAAACAGATTCAATCCAAAAAGGTCCTCTTTAAATGCTGCATTGGTTCACACTCATATGTGGGAGCTAAAAAACATTTTAAAAAATAAATAAGTAAATAATACTAATACTAATAGATTGAACTTTTAGGAGAGAGTAGAACTGTGGTTACTAGAGGCAGGAAAGGGGTGGGGGAATAGTGGAGTTTGGTTAATGGACACAGGATTACACCTAAATAGGAAAAATAAGTTCTACGGGTGTACAGTCAAAGTAGACATCTATAATTAACAAAAATTTATGTCATATTATGAAACGGCTAGAAGATAGGAGAACATATGTCCACATCACAAAGAAATCATTGTCTTATAATGATAAATA